CGTTTAATCCCGCTGCAAATGTTTGCACCTGTCCTAAGTCAGGAATTTGATTACAGTAGTTGTCGTCTGTTTATGTAGTTCATACGTGTTTCTCGTTTCTCGTTTTTATATAGATTAGACCGTTGGTTTTTTTCGTTTGAATGGTTTTACACTAGTAATTTTTTGGGGCCCTTTATAGCTTGCTGTTCGGTGTGAGCCAATGCTCCGTGTTGAAGGCCGTACCTTGACCTATAATGGTTTACTTTTATAAATTGTAACTTGGATGGAGAGTTGTCTCATTGGCACTCATACCACATCTTCCTATATCTATTGAATGGCTTCAGTTTTACTGTAAACACTTGTACAAAGTCTTTCTTTTGAAAGAAAGTTCTATTTTATCCAAATTTTCAGAAATGTACTGCTATTGAATTATTGTGTCCCCGTACTTTAAAGTCGTCAGCTTTTCCGTATGCCGTGACCTTATAACCATGGCATCTCTAGTTAAAACTCAGTTTACAATCACTCAGCACCGTGTTGCTTGTTACTGTGTACCATTTTATGTTTTGTACATGAAGGAAGCCGTTGATTCTCACATTTGAATTGTTTACATTTTGTTGTGTCACAGCCTTTTGTAGCTTCCTATGTGGTATGGTATTGCTTAAGTTGTTGCAGTTCGTACGACGCCTATAGTATATATGTCATTTTGTTTCTTGTGGATAGTTGTCTTATTGACGATCATACCACATCTTCTTTTTATAATTTATATTCGATATCAAAACCCTAACTGAGTTAATTAGCAGTCAAAGTTTTAGATCGAAATCACCGAATGCAATACATTTTATCGACTATAAGGTGCACAGAGGACCTAATTTAGTTTATATGCATGCATTGGTTCATTAATTTCCTAAACCTCATAATCACCAGAAACTCGTTTCATATGACATGAAATTAAAACTTTAAACAAGATATCGGACGCATAGACCCATTGTCAAGAATCAGTCCGGTCGATATTGCGCATGCGCATTCAGATACCCTACATGGATAAAATCGTTATATAGAAGCAGGAACATATATATTGATATATTGTTCCCAGATAGAAGTTATATGGAAAACCATTCATGATCTCAAAAAGAGCCAAGAAAAATTTGACGAAAATGTACTTTGAGTGTTGTAAAATTTCAAACTATCGGCAGACAGACTGATGTTGTACGGTTACACCACTGTCCAAGATTAGGGGAAAAGTTTGGCGCCGTTCAACCCCGTTACATTCTTTATATGCCTTTCCTAAGTCAGGAAGGAGCCTGTAGTTCAGTGGTTGTCGTTGGTTCATATCTGTCATATTTGTTTTTCGTAAATTGTTTTGTTATGAATTAGACCGTTATAGTTTTCTCAATTGAATTGTTAAATACTTTTCATGTCGGGCGGCCTTTTAAAGCCGACTATACGCACAGGCATTTGTTTCTGTCATTGGGGGGTTTACTATCCACACTTGTACGAAAATCACGTGATTTTTCGTACAAATGTGGATAGTAAACCCCCATTGACAGGGAAAATCACGTGATTTTTCGTACAAGTGTGGATAGTAAACCTCCCATTGACAGAAACAAGTGCATGTGACTATACGGTATGGATTTTTCTCGTTGTTGAAAGCCGCAATTGCTTACATCAACTTCATTTGAACTTTATTTTTGGCAATCACAACACATCTCCTTATTTTTATAAGGAAGTGCATGGTTTCACGGCACATGCAAAAAATGCTTACTCGCTACAGCTCAACATTATCAAGCTGCACACCAAAAATAATTCATTCCCTTTCATTGAAACTAAGAACACTTTGATGATAGTGTAAAAGTTAATCTTTCTGACGGACGGACGGGGCCGAACACTTATTAAACCTGCGACGCAGGTAAAAACGCTAGTTTTGATCTTTATCTAAAACACTTAGAACCACTATCAACCAAACAATTTTTTTTCTTGAGCATCGTGTTAAACATCGACTTGATGAATATTTGTCACACGGAAATCGCAAGTTGTTTACAAAGGTTTTAAAGTTAGTTTTAAAATATATGTATGTGCATTTTGATACATTGCATGGCCCAGAAATTAGGCAAGCCGTTTTACGATTTATTCTAATTAATTTCAAGATATCTCATAATATATAAGATATCTCATAATATATAAGATATCTTATATAGTTTAGGGAAAACAGGACCACAAACAAAGACAAACAACACCGAACGACACATCAACCACCAACACCCAACCATCGGGAAAACAGAACCACAAACAAAGACAAACAAAACCGAACGACACATCAACCACCAACACCCAACCATCGGGAAAACAGAACCACAAACAAAGACAAACAAAACCGAACGACACATCAACCACCAACACCCAACCATCGGGAAAACAGGACCACAAACAAAGACAAACAACACCGAACGACACATCAACCACCAACACCCAACGATCGGGAAACAGGACCACAAACAAAGACAAACAATACCGAACGACACATCAACCACCAACACCCAACCATCGGGAAAACAGGACCACAAACAAAGACAAACAGCACATAATGACACATCAACCACCAACACCCAACCATCGGGAAAACAGGACCACATACAAAGACAACACCGAACGACACTTCAACCACCAACATCCAACCATCGGGAAAACAGGACCACAAACAAAGACAAACAACAACGAACGACACATCAACCACCAACACCCAACCATCGGGAAAACAGGACCACATACAAAGACAACACCGAACGACACTTCAAGCACCAACATCCAACCATCGGGAAAACAGGACCACAAACAAAGACAAACAACAACGAACGACACATCAACCACCAACACCCAACCATCGGGAAAACAGGACCACAAACAAAGACAAACAACAACGAACGACACATCAACCACCAACACCCAACCATCCGGAAAACAGGACCACAAACAAAGACAAACAACACCGAACGACACATCAACCACCAACACCCAACGATCCGGAAAACAGGACCACAAACAAAGACAAACAACACCGAACGACACATCAACCGCCAACACCCAACGATCGGGAAAACAGGACCACAAACAAAGACAAACAACACCGAACGACACATCAACACCCAACCATCCAGAAAACAGGACCACAAACAAAGACAAACAACAACGAACGACAAATCAACCACCAACACCCAACCATCGGGAAAACAGGACCACAAACGAAGACAAACAACACCGAACGACACATCAACCGCCAACACCCAACCATCGGGAAATCAGGACCACAAACAAAGACAAACAACAACGAACGACACATCAACCACCAACACCCAACCATCGGGAAAACAGGACCACAAACGAAGACAAACAACACCGAACGACACATCAACCGCCAACACCCAACCATCGGGAAAACAGGACCACAAACAAAGACAAACAGCACATAATGACACATCAACCACCAACACCCAACCATCGGGAAAACAGGACCACATACAAAGACAACACCGAACGACACTTCAACCACCAACATCCAACCATCGGGAAAACAGGACCACAAACAAAGACAAACAACAACGAACGACACATCAACCACCAACACCCAACCATCGGGAAAACAGGACCACATACAAAGACAACACCGAACGACACTTCAAGCACCAACATCCAACCATCGGGAAAACAGGACCACAAACAAAGACAAACAACAACGAACGACACATCAACCACCAACACCCAACCATCGGGAAAACAGGACCACAAACAAAGACAAACAACAACGAACGACACATCAACCACCAACACCCAACCATCCGGAAAACAGGACCACAAACAAAGACAAACAACACCGAACGACACATCAACCACCAACACCCAACGATCCGGAAAACAGGACCACAAACAAAGACAAACAACACCGAACGACACATCAACCGCCAACACCCAACGATCGGGAAAACAGGACCACAAACAAAGACAAACAACACCGAACGACACATCAACACCCAACCATCCAGAAAACAGGACCACAAACAAAGACAAACAACAACGAACGACAAATCAACCACCAACACCCAACCATCGGGAAAACAGGACCACAAACGAAGACAAACAACACCGAACGACACATCAACCACCAACACCCAACCATCGGGAAAACAGGACCACAAACGAAGACAAACAACACCGAACGACACATCAACCGCCAACACCCAACCATCGGGAAAACAGGACCACAAACAAAGACAAACAACAACGAACGACACGTCAAGCACCAACACCCAACCATCGGGAAAACAGAACAACAAACAAAGACAAACAACACCGAACGACACATTAACCACCAACACCCAACCATCGGGAAAACAGGACCACAAACAAAGACAAACAAAACCGAACGGCACATAAACCACCAACACACAAACAAAGACAAACAACACCGAACGACACATCAACCACCAACACCCAACCATCGGGAAAACAGGACCACAAACAAAGATAAACAACACCGAACGACACATCAACCACCAACACCCAACCATCGGGAAAACAGGACCACAAACAAAGACAAACAACACCGAACGACACATCAACCACCAACATCCAACCATCGGGAAAATAGGACCACAAACAGACAAACAACACCGTACGACACATCAACCTACAACATCCAACCATCGGGAAAATAGGACCACAACAACAACGAACGTCACATCGGATAGCCTGACTTGGAACATGTGATGTGGTTAAACCAGTTTTACGTGAGCACAATCCTATCGATACCAAATGTCGTAAAACTATAACACACAATAAAAATGCGCAGGACGACACCTAACTTAAACAACGAATAAAAAAAAGGGCACATAATTTGGAAAGCATGGTATGCCTGTACATTATGCATATAAATATGAAAATAGAACTTTAATTTAATTTAATTGGAATATGTGCATATCTCTTTTAAAACGACTATAATGTCATGATAATTTAAGTACCCCCCCCCCCCCCCCCCCCAAATACCTATTTCGGGTTTCCGACCATAAACTTAAAATTAAGCTAGTTTCATCTTGAAAACAGATTTCCTGGTGAATGTGATGGTCATGGAGGTCTTGGAATGATAATCCGAAACTACTTGTTCCTTCCTGACAACAAAGTCATCTAAAGCTTTAAGAACATTTGCTGTAAAATCGAGCATTGATACCGAAGCAAACGAGACGTTTTCTCCCTGGGTTAATTGTGGAGCTTTGCGCTGTAGAAAATCAAACTTCTTTAGTGTGCCGATAGTTTGTAATTCGTCTTTGTGTTCATCCATCGGTAACTTCATCAACCTGGCAAATATTCCTCTCCTTCTACCACCTTTCTTTTGTGATGTGAATTTGTTTACCACTTTTTGAATTTTGTAGTATTTTTTTAGGACTTCAATGAATGACGGCTGCTTCTTTCTAATCTGTTTTCCTCTTAACCTTTCGAAACTATATTTTAAATTCAGCTTTTTAGAATCAAACAATTCCTTTTCTTGTTCTTCATCTGTTTCAGTTTCAGGAGATTTGACTTCCAATTGCTTTGGAAGAGGTTTTTTCAAAAGGGGTGGTTTCTTAGATTTAGCTTCTTTTATTGACTTTTTTTTACTCGTCAACTTATTTTTTAGTATTAACGGAGACGAAAGCGTAGAAATAGTCGTTTTTGTCTCGGTTATTTGAGGTGTTATATTGTCAACATTTTCTTGTTCTTCTTCGTGCAGAAGTTCTGTGAGTGTTCCTGAAGCAGAAGTTAGAAAAACTAGAGGAATGTCAGATTCAACAGATGATTCACGCCTCAACAAATCAAAATCATATAATGTTGACTCATATTCAAAAGAAACGGACCTTTCTCTTTCATCCTCATCCGAAACTGCAGTAAACCGTCTGCTTGGTGCCCTTTTTCTAAACGTTTGTTGCTGATCTATTACCCATCTTTCGCAAGCTTTCGAATCTGTCACACCACCTACTTCTTCAGCAAATCCTATGGTATTTTGTCTATATTTTAATTGTCCTTGTTTTATACCTATTGGTGGCAATTTGATGTCATCTTCCGGACTCGACTCTTCTGCTAATGGTATATCAGATATTTTTGTTTTCAATGCCTCCCTTTCGATATTGTAACGTTTCGCTACCTTCTTGGACATTTGTTTAGCTCGTCGAAATCTTGGATCGTACTTTTCTTCTTCTTCTAGGGTATTTAGGAATTCTTCAAATGTTGGAACTCGTTGTGGTATTTTTTGAATTTTTTTCATGTTTGTGTATAGGCTAAAATCTATTTCTTTGTACTTCGGCAAACCTTGATGGTGTTTCTGCCAGTCCACTTCTATGGCTTTTTTCTCCTCGCGCATTTTCTGTTTATCTTTGAGTTTCGTTCTTAGTTTTTCTTGAACGTTTATATCGTCTGTTAAAGTTTTTATTATGTTTTCTCCTAGATAGAATTCTTCGCCGGTGTCAACGTTTTCCAAAGTGTTGACATCATCCACTACCTGCACATCTAACCCATCCCCATACACATCCTTATCAGTACAGGCAAATTTTGCCAGGTTAAGTGGTCTTGCTTTCAGTTTATCTTTATTATCCGGACTTGTCTGATTTGACTTTTTGTCAGCTCGTAGGATCTGTGGTATGATTTCTACATTTGGTTTGTCCGATGCATTCCCTGCTGCAGTTTTTTCTGACATAGTGTCTTCATTATTACCAGATTCATGTTCTTTCCAGTTCCTAAGAGTGTTGTCTATATCATCTCGGTTATTCTTTACACATCCTGTTTTTACCATATACTCTAAACGTCTAGAAATATCATTCATTTCCTCTTTGTTATCAGATGATATAAACATGGAATTCCTTTTGAAGGAGTGTGACGAATATGGGTCGAAATTGTAACGAAATATACTCTGCTTCCTTTTCCTTGACCTGGCTAATACAAAGAAATGGAAATGTACGAGATGTTAAAATAACAATATCAAAATATTTCCTGAAATAAGTAGAACTTAAAATAATTATCCTCGCTAAATATCGAATATATTTGAATTGTTTTTCGTGCGTTTCTTTGATATAAGCATCAACACCCTATCTGAATCCTTGTGGATAAAATAATCAGCTGCTCCTTTAAAACTTTTAGCCTATAGAAATATAAAATAAGGAGATGTGGTATGATTACCAAAGAGACAACTATCCACCAGAGACCGACAGACGAGGATGATGTAAAGAACCACAGGTCACCATACTACATTTAAAAGATTGTTTTACAAACGTGCAATTGAAAAAAAAATGTTGAAGGTCTCTAAGAAACCTCATAGAAATATTCTAAATACTCATCCTTATCCGACTGTCTGTCTATAACATGCTGAAAGAAGGAAGTAGAAAATTAAATTGCAAAATAAATCAAGTTTCACAGAAAGTCGAAAGGTACTTGTGATTAGAATGTCAAATTCAATATGCGACACACCTTCTTGAAGATTTGCTTCCAAATTCTAAGTATTATAAAGAAGATAAAACAAGATAAAATTGAGAATGGAAATGGGAAATGTGTCAAAGAGACAACCTGACCAAAGAGCAGAAAACAGCCCAAGGCCACCAATGGGTCTTCAACACAGTGAGAAAATCCCGCACCCGGATGCGAGCTTCAGCTGGCCCCTAAACAAAAATGTGTACTAGTTCAGTGAAAATGGACGTCACAATAAACTCAGAAACATATAAATGAACTAAAATTTAAAAAAAACATACAAGACTAACAAAGGCCAGAGGCTCCTGACTTTGGAAAGGCGCAAAAATGCGGAGGGGTTAAACATGTTTTGTGAGATCTCAACCCTCCACCTATACCTCTAGCCAATGTAGAATAAACAAACACACAGCAATACGAACAGTAAAACATAAACTGTGAATTCACCAAAGTATACACCCAAGATACTATTACCACGTACTGCAATGTTGATTGTATGCTCTTTACGCACATCATCACCTATTGTTCTGGTCTGTGTAAAGTTTCATGAATATCTGTCTAACCATATAGGAGTTGCGCTAACGAGGCACATGCATGGACCGATAGACGGACGGACGGACAAGGTGATTCCTAAACAGTAAATACCCTCCTTAAAAATAAAAAGTTTGTTTGCTCTTTTTTCCGGGAATATTAAATAAATTCTATTGAACATAAATTTTCTACCTCAAGCTTGCTTCTTAGAAATAGATAAATTCTGTGAGCGAAAATTCATAAAAAAAAACCCTTGAAATGCAATTTTGATTGCAACCAACAAGTGTAATCCACTTACTATAAAACTTCGTTGGTTGATCGGACTAACGTCTATAGACCTATTAGCTAAAAAAAAACCACCAACTAAACAAAATGAACAATACAGTTTTTGTGAAACGAATGGCAAATCTTTCATCACTAACGCTATATATATGATTCATTTGGTTTAGACGTGAATAAATCTCTTTATCAAAACGCCCACTTTGTCAATCCAAACTTTTTTTTCAAACATATTCTGAAATGTGATCTCAATTAAATTTCAAGGTATACTAACAGAGAATTTGCATTGTGGCAATCTCGTCTGATTCCTCCTCCACCTCTTTAATAGTGTGAAATGTGGATTCAGTTGTTGTCTCGGTTGTAGTAGAGGGCGTGTCTTTAGACTTCTTCTCTGTTTTCCGTCCATAATACGTAAATTCTAATAACAAGGTTTCCTCTATTATTCTACACCCCTATAATTAGATATAGATAAAATGAAACAGGATCTGAAAAATATAAATTTGTATCATCTCACTATTTGATATCAGTGCATAGGGTTGGTCGAGTTTAGGTCTTGTTGATTTTTTACATTTCGTATCTCTGAAATTATCTTTAGACTCTGACTCGCTTAAATGAAGGTTACAGTTTAGAAAGTGCCTATATAGTCTATAGTCTTTTTGTCAAGATCAAATGAAGTTTGTGCAATTAACATTGTTAGTCATTTGTGTTCAATTCTAAAACAGCTGGTGAATATTTCTAGGTTTATATAATTTAGCGCTGGACGTGCTTTTTATATTAATATCGAATTGATAAATTACTTTCGAGAGCATATGGTTGTATTGTTAAATGTGAACCGAATCAAAATAAAACTTTCTGCCGTATTCGTATTCTATGCATTAATAATTGTCCCCTTCTTCTTTCCCTAGCTAAAAATTTACCGCTGTACTTCAACGATACCTTTTCTTCATTGGATAGTTTATAACAGGCGCGTCTTTCTCGCTGGTTCCTAGCAAAAGCAAATGTGTTGTGATGTCCTATGATATTTGTCTTCTCCAGGACATACAGAGCTGTGATGAGATAATCCAACAGTTGGCCTTCCAGTATCCGTATAGAACAACCATGGGACCATTTGTCAGAATACAGGAAATCCCAGAATTCTTCTACCAAATCAAAACAAAGATGTTTACGTTAAATTTATGTTTTATAAAAAAAAAGGATATGTATTAAAAACATATGAAATAGTTTGACCATGTTATAAACTGTGGTTTATGAGGGCCTTGGTTTACAGAATGGGGAATAATAGCCAAAAACAATGATGAATAGAGAAAAATAATCCAAAAATATAAAGAATAGAGAAAAATAATCCAAAAATATAAAGAATAGAGATTAATGGGGTGCAACAGTATAAAGAATGACTGTGGAAAATAAAAGAATTAAGTAATAAAATACTGTTACAGAAATAAATTATGTACGAATAAATAAATCAACTTATTAAAGAAAATTTTGATAGTAAAATCATTTTCACGAGAATTTTACATAATAAGCGTTATTTTTAACGATAAAGAAAAATGCCCTAAAAATTTAAAGAATATAGAAATTAAGAACACCCCCCCCCCCCATAACCCCTCCACCCAGACCCTCGTTTATATGAAAGCAGATAATTTTCACAGATTTTAAACGAAGCATGGATTTCAGAAATTCAAAACCAGACTTGATGAAAGCAATAGATTAAAAATTTAAAGCTACATGTACTTACTATAACAAGTATAAACAACCAACGGTTTCATCTTAATACATTGAAGAATTCGAGTAGTATAATTTTTCCGATCGTTGAAATATGACAATAAAAATCATCTGTATACGGATATAGACTTCACGTCATTAAGTTTAAGTAACATGCAAATATAAACTTCATACTACCTGACACGCACATTGTTAGGTAAAGAAGATGAAAGAATTGAAAATGGCAATCATGTCTGCCCTGACATTTTATAATTGATTTAAGTGTAAAGATATCTTTAAATTATTTACTTCTGCCAAGTAAATCTCTAATAACAAACATGATACATTTCTTCAAAATTAATAAATCAATAATTTCATATATTATTTGAAAGATATTAATATTTGTTGAATTAAAGAATGGTGACATGTAGGCGCTATATACTATATAGGTCCAAACTTAGTTGTATTTAATTATATTGTCTAACATCCACGAACCCCACCGATTACCACTGCTGATGTGATATCTAACATCCACGAACCCCACCGATTACCACTGCTGATGTGATATCTAACATCCACGAACCCCACCGATTACCATTGCTGATGTGATATCAGTTTCCACTTTCAATTCATTAAACTGTTTGGTTTTGTTACTTAGCTTACAAGGTTACAACACTAAGGTCAAGTTGACCTCAGAAAGTTTTGACTGTTCTGTCTTTGATTTCGAAACTCACAAAGATTTAAATATTTTGATTCAAAATCTTTTGCTATTCTCTGCATGTATCTGTCAAAATTTTGGTAAATGAGCAACGTTTGGTTATGCCGAAGCCTTTTACAGGAAAACTATAAAGTATGGGTTTTGCTCATTGCTAAAGGTCTTAGTCGTCTCATTGGCAAACATACCTCATCTTCTTATTTCTTTGACGGAAGTAGGAGCGCATATGTATAGATTCACTGTTTTTGAAGGGCCACTCTAAAGGAGTAAACTATAAACTAATAGAGATATCTTATTAACTAGATAAGATATCTTATAAACCGGATGAAACATCGTCTCTTTTGTCATGTGAAACTGAACTATCCAAATTTAAAAAAAGAAAATTATTACTGTTTAACTTAGATTTATTTTCCGTCAGTTAATTTTGTAAATTTCAGCAGCAAAATAGTATCAGAGTAACGATAATTGTATTTAAATTTTTCGATTAAGATGTGTCTTTGCTGAGTTTGGTCATAAACTGAGATTCATAACAATGTCAACAATCCGGGACCAAGTCTGCTATTATAGGGGCGCAATTGGTGTCCAAAGGAAACCTAAAACCTGTCGATTATATTTATTGCCGAAACGTACTATTGATGATGTCAATAGAGAAAATAAACAGTTTATTCATGCCATCACAGTCTTAGTAAGTTTATCTAGAACTTTTATCTTTTTCAGTTCAGGAGGCGGCTTTACATCAATTGCTGCAAATAAATTTGCAGTCAGATTTTTTCAAAGGACCATTTAAGGTTCATCAAGTGGGGCTTCTCCTTCGACTATCACTCTGATGTGTCTGTCATACAGAAATGATCTTGAGCGGCCTAGAAGTGATACTTCCTGAACATGTATGAAATATTTCCCACTGGACGTTAAGCAACCAACAATCAATCAATCTAATGCCATATGTTTTTTTGATTGTGAAGTAGCTTGTCAAGTGGAACTGAGTCGAAGGCTTTCTAAAGTCTATTATGACAATGTGTGTTTACAGTATTTAGTTTTATTATTTAGGGTTGCTGTTTCATTGATTTTTACCCCACATCTCCCTTATTTACACATATAATAAAATTTCAAATTCACTGTTTACTTACCTATGGTGACATCATGGAATGTTGTTAACTCGTCTGAAAAATACTGCTCACAACCAACACTTGACTGCAATAATTTCACAAATTTACTCAACTGCTCTGGCTGACTGAATCCCTTCAAAGTGTCTTTCCTTTCTAGGAATGGGTTGATCTTAAACCAAAGACGCTTGACATTATTATTCAACACAACTCTAGCTTTACTAAACAAAACATCGTGTACTTCATTGGGACAGACCATTCTTCAAAATGGTAACGTCAAACAATCACCAAGGGTACATTATGACGCCATATGCGTAGAGATCGAAGAAAGGCAGACTACGTCCTACTGTAGATTACAGACTAGTTGTTAGTCTGGTCGGTGTATGCAATAAAGATATGTCGTTACTTTCTATACTGATATAAGATTGGCACATGAAAAAGCCGGTAGCCAGGACAGTCTGTTATGGGGTTGATATTTTCTTAAGCAATTCCCTATCTGAGGATATTTTCTATTCTGAAAACTATTAATACTCAGTGAAAAAATTTATTAACTCAATAGAATTTATTGCCCTTCGTTGGCTATTTTTACGAATTACTATATTTGCTTATCAGCTTGAAACCTATAATAGATATAAACAAAAACTTAAACTGCAAAATTCATCAATCATACACGATCTACAAAAATGACGATATGATCGAATCCATAAATTGACCCCTTATGGAAACTATTGCCCTTAAAAGACGATTTTAAGTATTTTTGCCTATTATCTTGATAAGTTAAGATAAGATAACATATTTTATTGGTTTAAAATTCAAAATTACAGGATTGTTTCCAAATTTGACAATAAACATTGGCTATACATAAACATACTAACACATATATCTGTCAACATTTATATACAGTGTATATAATAATTTGTATATCCCCTCCGTTATTAAAAAAAATTATTGAAGATCTAAAAAGTGCTAAATGACTGGAACCCTTAACGAGGGCCCCTATTTTTAGAAGTTATTGCCCTTAAGTGACTATTTTTGTCAAATTTTAGTATTTTTTTTTCTTTAATTTTGAAAACTATCATAAACAGACGGAAACTGTAAACGGCATTTTTTTGTTATAAGAAATTAATATTATAATTCTTATGTCACTATTGCATATTTTTACCAGATCAGCTATCTCGGCTCGTGGAGCCTTTAGTTGAGAAACTTTATTGCAGAATGAGTTTCTTATTCAGAAATTGGTCATCGCAAGGAGAAAAAACCCCAATTTGTACATGTTTTAAACTGAATTTGATAACTAATAGGATAATTTACAAGTTGATTATAAAGTTTATTTGTACAAGGATCTCACTATACAAATCCTTGATTTGTAATACAATGTTACTGTGTATCTTCTTCATGTGTAAGATGATAAAATTGATCCATTAATTAACACAATGACTTCTCTATTAATTCGGTACCATACGTTTATTTGTCACAGTCTTCTGACGTGCAAGACCAAAGGTAATGAAGATTTGTCCAGAAAAAAATGGAAGCATTTATACAGAGGGATAATGTCGTCGCCGTAGATTTACGCTCGACAGAAGTCTTTGATACGGTATCAGATCTGCATAAGACGGTTCGGCCGAGTCAGGTTAAAGAGAGAGGAAGTATAAAAAGCCATATAACAAATGGGATAGGTCAAATAAAATCCTCAGTACTTATTCGCTTTTAGGTTTGTTTCCTTAGCAGTATACATTATTTCAGACCAGCTTAGATCTATAACTTGCTATGAAAAGCTTAGCCTAGTATTCTGGCCTAACCTCCTCTTCACGTCAGTACTGTCGAGCAGTGATCCAGGATCCCAGGCTACAAAAAGCTTATAGTCATCTTCGTCACAAGTGTCTTGACGTATTGTAAGTCGTCAACGAAAACATCATGTAGATATGCTAATCTTGATTAGAAAAAGAGAGGAGAAAGATACCAAAGGGACATTCAAACTCATAAGTCGAAAATAAACTGACTACGCAATGGCAAGAAAAAGAACAAAAGACAAACAACAGTACAAAATAACAACATAGAAAACTAGACTGGGCAACACGAAATCCACCAAAAACCGGTGGTGATCTCAGGTGTTTCGAAGGGTAAGCAAATCGTGCTCCACATAGTAACTTACCAATAAAAGGACTCTTTTTGAAAAAAGAGATACGTTCTTATAATATTACAGAGTAATGAAATCTAATTAATGAATATGAACTAACGATATTTTGATCTGTAAATTTACCACATGTCATCATTGTAGAGCCTGCGACATTTATGTCGCGAAAACGAGACATAGTGACCGCCTAAATTCCGTCGTCGGCGTCAACATTTAGGTTCAGTCTGTGCATGGTTAAAGTTTTTTAGACATCAATAACTTTGTCAAACCTTCTAGGAATTTTAGGAAATTTGGACAGAAACTTGTTTATGACCAAAATACAGTATTCAGAGCAAAATTTTGAAAATACTTATTTTCATTTTTCCGTATTTAACTGGTAAATTGACTTCGTTTTTTTTTACAGTTAACAAGTAGATACAGTCTGGGGGTAAATAGATATAAGTTTGGTACACATCAATTACTTTGTCAAACCTTTATAGGATTTTATGAAACTTTGGCAGAAGCTTTTTTTTTTTTATTAAAGGAGACATGACACGATTTTTTTTTTTTTTTTTTTTTTTATTATTTTTATGTTTTACATGTTTTGTACAATTTTGCTGGTCAAAACCTGATAAATCCGCATTTTTCTGGTCAAAGAATCAAGCGCTTATCATTAAGAATGATTTTTAATTAGATAACGACCACGTGATCGTGCTTACGTCAGTGGTTACAAGCTCTTAACTGGACGATGTCGATACACTATGTCTGAAACAAACTTTTGAAAATTTTTTTTTCACTTCTAGTATTTTTCTGATAGATGGACTTAATTTTTTTACAGCTAACATGTACAGACAATCTGGGATTACACTTTGTTAACATGATAAATTTTAAACCTTCATGGATTGTTATGAAACTTGGACAGAAGATAATCTTCAAGACCATGAAATAGCATCTATTTTTTTTTAAATTCTATATTTTACTGATAAGTGGACTCACTTTTTAAGTCAACATTACACATTTACACTGACAGCAGCAATCGCAGGCGAGACACAGGGTTCCGCGGAATCTCTTACATTTTTTTTTTAAATATCGGTCTTAGTTTATGTTTGTGTTATTATACATTCTCATTATAGTTAAGCATTAACATAATTTTCTATAACTTTTATCGTCCTGAACATGCATGAAATATTTGCCACTGAACGTTAACCAACCAACAATCAATCAACAGAACTATATTTTTATTTATATATGAACAAAAGATTAGAAGAATTAGGTAAATGAAACAGAAACTAACAATATAACTTAAAAACAGACATATTAAGCCACACCACTCTACAAGAGCTTTTGACCAGCTCTAAATCAGTACGAGTCATGTTTGGAATAAATTCAAAAGACATATTAACTGACACCAATACTATTTTGTTCACAACATAGTTTAAAAGCCACACACGACCTTCTACACATAGTTTAAAAGCCACACACGACCTTCTACACTCTACAAGAGCCCACATTTTAGGTCCAGCACTTAATCACCATGCACCAGTAAAGTTTGGAATACATTTAAAAGAAGCCATCAACTATCTGACACCTACACCATTTTTTTCATTTGACAAGAGTATGAACAGACATCGAAAACCACATAATCTGCTTACTTTGGTTTTAATTGTAACTGTTGTCAATGATGTACCCGCTTTGCAAGGCTTAGTTCAACATCATTTATCGAGATATCACGAGGTCTTCTAACCTAATTTGTCAGATAAGCTCGGTTGTGGTTTTCTTTACTGTTAAAAGAGCTGCTTTAATATAATTCTTTATCGAAGCATGAATGTTTAGTGATCGTTGTATCTGTTTGTTTGTCCTTTTTTTCACCTTGTGTCTGCAATTCCTTCTAAACCAGTAGATTAATTTCAATGAAACGTCCTAAAAATCGTAGTCTATAATAGCATTGTGCACTTCCATAAAACATTTACCTCTTGATACAAATAAATTTAAATAGATTTTTCCTTTGTTTACTTAAACTAACCAATTAGCAGAAATGAAACTTTTGGTGAAAGAGAAATATATCTAGACCATTTTCAGCCAAAATTTACTTGTCCATGATTTTTCATTAAAAATTGATGATTAATGCACTCTATAATATACATATTTAAGATTTCCAGAAACCCAGGGGTTATTTTTTAGTCACAGTTGACTTCTTCACTACAAGACTTTCAACATTGGTTGCAAATTGGCATATAGAAAGGTAGTATATGTACAATTCAGGCTATACCTGGTTTCTATGAAGTTAAATAAGGGGGGGGGTCTATTTGAGCAGTGCACACAGTATTTCTAGTCATATAAATTCATTTAAAGCATAAAGATGAGCTTAAAGGGCATCAGGCGTATCATGCACTCATGGCGCAGCTCTTTATTAAGGATGACATAATGAGGATGTGTACTTTTGTTGTGAGTGGATAGCTAAGAGGGTATCATACACTCATGGTGCAGCTCTTTATTAAGGATGACATAATGAGGAAGTGTACTTTTGTTGTGAGTGGATAGCTTAGAGGGTATCATGCACTCATGGTGCAGCTCTTTATTAAGGATGACATGAGGAAGTGTACTTTTGTTGTGAGTGGATAGCTTAGAGGGTATCATGCACTCATGGTGCAGCTCTTTATTAAGGATGACATAATTAGGAAGTGTACTTTAGTTGTGAGTGGATAGCTTAGAGGGTATCATGCACTGATGGCGCAGCTCTTGATTAAGGATGACATAATGAGGAAGTGTACTTTTGTTGTGAGTGGATAGCTTAGAGGGCCTTCATGTCATTTAGCCTGATTTAATAACAAAATAATTATTTGAAAAAATCTTTTCTTTTATTAAACAAATTATATGTGTCTTGTCATGAAATAAGATTGACAGTATGACAGTTGATCTAACAAGTATTGTATATACAATTAAGGATCATGATAGGAGGATATTATATAGTGTTACAGTATAATCTTAACTAACAATTATAAAAGATAATCTTGGTTTATGTATGTTTTACTGTAAAATAGCTTTAAACAGTTTAAACGAATTTCATTATTTATGTAAAATGCAAATAAGAAAAAATAAGAAAAAAGAAATGTTGAACAGCAATGACTTCTGTTAAAAGGTAGTCC